TGTGACGTCACCCTTTGATGTTGGCGTACCATTATTTCAAATAATCGTACGGGCAACTTGCCAATCGTACCTTGTCAAATATTAGACTCGAGTGACGTATTTCACTGTAAACGCACGTGCGGAGTGTCTGTATTTTAAGATGTTTAATGGTCTCGAGCTGAGACATTGCGTAATATATTGTAAAAACACTCGGACCTGACGGTCCTCTTGTTGTTACAATATATTACTTAATGTCTCGCTCTCGACCATTAAACAATACTTAGGGTGGCCCATGTGCTCTACAGAAATAAAGTCCACCGCTGATAGTTCGAGACTACCACTGAAGCGTACACATTCGCCGTGCCGAGACCAACTTTCTGACAATATGATACTATAAATAGCCATGGCACGTGCAATTCTCTACAAATCTATCAACTATTACAGCCGTAAAAAATTTATTGTTGACGATTTTGAATAGCAGTGAAATTAAGCTTCTTGATTATTACAGCAGATTTAGAAATTACGTTCGTTTCATTTTTTAAATCGCTTTATCATTAACTGTACCGTTAAGAGCGGCATCTTTTGGTTTAGTACAAATAATATCTCTGAATCACTCGGATTAGACAGGAACATGATACTTGCAGTAGTTTCATTTTACTTTTACAAGGTTCTTAAAACGATTGTTGAGCTACCTAACGTGCTTATTTCTAAATTCAATTTCTTGTTCTAGCTTTCTGTTATGTTTCGTAAAAAAGTAGTCTTGATTATCCCGACCTGTCAATCAGACGTAGAATGGTCGATAGACTGGTTAAGCGAGACTAATTTCAAAACAAGGGCACGTAACCTATCTTTTACTCAAAAGTGTCTGGATGTAATGGACGACACTTGGAACCAGTTTTCAGTCTATTATTTATAGATGATTAATGGTCATAGCTTATTAAGTACAACATGATCGTTTATTTAGTGACTATAATTGTGTGAAACTGATTTGAGGCTTGGCATATATATAAATATTGTGGCGTAATTGTCGAGATATAAGGAGATATATAGAGATATTTATTTATGGTGGGTCACCCTACAATACTTAAAATACAGATGTGACGTCACCCTTTGATGTTGGCGTACCATTATTTCAAATAATCGTACGGGCAACTTGCCAATAGTACTTTATTCATACCAGTGAGATATTGGACTAGTGTGACGTAAAAGCTCGTGCGGAGTGTCAGTATTTTAAGATGTTTAATGGTCTCGAGCTTACGACATTGCTAGGGTGGCCCATGCACCTACAGAAATACAGTCAACCGCTGATAGTTCGAGACTACCACTGAAGCGTGCACATTCGCCGTGTCGAGGCCAACTTTCTGACAGTATGATACTATAAATAGCCATGGCACGTGCAATTCTCTACAAATCTATCAACTATTACAGCCGTAAAAAATTTATTGTTGACGATTTTGAATAGCAGTAAAATTAAGCTTCTTGGTTATTACAGCAGATATAGAAATTACGTTCGTTTCATTTTTTAAATCGCTTTATCATTAACTGTACCGTTAAGAGCGGCATCTTTTGGTTTAGTACAAATACTATCTCTGAAACACTCGGGTTAGACAGGAACATGATACTAGCAGTAGTTTCATTTTACTTTTACAAGCTTCTTAAAACAATTGTTGAGCTAGCTAACGTGCTCATTTCTTAATTCAATTTCTTGTTCTAGCTTTCTGTTATGTTTCGTAAAAAAGTAGTCTTGATTATCCCGACCTGTCAATCAGCCTTAGAATGGTCGATAGACTGGTTAAGCGACTCTAATTTCAAAACAAGGGCACGTAACCTATCTTTTACTCAAAAGTGTCTGGATGTTATGGACGACACATGGAACCAGTTTTCAGTCTATTATTTATAGATGATTAATGGTCATAGCTTATTAAGTACAACATGATCGTTTATTTAGTGACTATAATTGTGTGAAACTGATTTGAGGCTTGGCATATATATAAATATTGTGGCGAAATTGTCGAGATATATGGAGATATTTATTTATGGTGGGTCACCCTAACATTGCGTAATATATTGTAAAAACATTCGGGCCTACGGCCCTCATGTTGTTACAATATATTACTTAATGTCTCGCTCTCGACCATTAAACAATACATAATACATACATATTAGTAGCATTAATTTAACAGACAGTCATATAATATTATCTACTAATATTGATGTAATATCTTACTAACTAGCAAATGTATTAGATGTATGATACACCTGCCAATACCATTAAACAACTGACCTCACATATCTTAAAATCTGCTTATACGTTGGGTTGTATTGATATGATTTGAGTTGACTAAACGATTCGAATGTGTGTTTTCTAGAACATGTCCGAAACGCACCATAATATATAGGTATACTTATATACTATGTTTGACGTTTATACGGCCTTTTATCATAAAAACTCACGTATTTACTTGAACAATCTTGTAGTTGCCTGGTGAAATAAATTATTTCTTCCCCTCTTTTAATATCGATCTCAGGTGGCAGCTCTCAGTTTTGCATGGGAGATAAATCTATTGTAATGCTCATGGAATCAGACTAGTAATTATCTACCCCACTTCTTTAAACTTATATTTTATTCAAAGTCTATGGCATTTTTTTTACTTTATCCTTCTAAGTGTACATGATGTCTAGCCCGGCCTCTAAGCCGGGGCGGCTAAAGCTATTTCTCTCTCGGAACACTGCATATTGTCTCTATCCCGGCCTCTAAGGCGAGGGTTGAATTTCCCTCTAGGAACGCCGTATGATGTTTAAATATACCTTAGTGTCTTAGTGGTAGCAAGAGAGTTGCATGCGTCTTGGTAAATTTGCACGTTGTCTTAACCCAGTCCTGAGCCCCGAATGATATCGGAATATACCTTAGAGTCTCTAAAGGTTGCAAGAGCCACACGTAGACAAATCTACATGGTGTCTCTATCCCAGTTTCGAATGATGTCTAAAGTAAACTTAACCCCGATCTTTCTTATACAGAGGATACGTGCCTGTGTCATAGACTCATAAACTGGATAGGGAATTCCTTTATTTGACTGGTCAGCTGTACAGAAGCTATCCTGGATTTAAACACAATGTTCTAATATGGGCACGATGGAGGAAAGGCGGGTGACGGGTCCACTTTTTGAAAGCGTGAAATACTATATTTGGAATAACAGGCTATGACGTCATTGACCTATTTTAATTTTAAAGGCATCTAATTAGCACAAATCTATCTGTAGCTTACGACTTCAATACATTAAACAGAGCACCATTTGGCGAACTTAAATAACCTCTAACGCGTCATTGGTGACAGGGTAATTTGTTATCCATTTCCGTTTCATGGCGTTTCAGCCATTATGAAGTCTTTAAAGGTCCCTCTGGATATCCAAAGCAATTCAGTTATAATGGTCAACCGTGTGCGTATCCATTTAAACCAACCTTTTACGAACCACATTTTCAGTCAACAAATTGGGCCCTTACTGAAATGGCTTGGCTACTGTAAGTATTCTCTACCAATACTGCTGGTTAAAACTTGGCTACATCCCCATCCATAAGACAGATGGTTCATTAGCCCGGGTCTTTAGTTGCCCGATTTTATTTCAGGGAAGCCACCACATTAAGTTAAGTCTTAAACATAAAACAAATTCTATTGTTCGAGGATGTCTGGAAGTTTATTTAGACACTGGCATATAAATATAACCGTTTTAAGATTAGTTTGTGTTCTTTGTGCGAGATATGGATCAGGGAGGGGAGGGGTGGTGGAAGATGTTGGGGGACGGGGGATAATGTATAATATAAAAGAGAAAACGACGAGGAAGGGAACATATAGTTGGTACATAGGTGAATCTAAAGACATATCAACAGCTATACAGCAGAGAGTGAGAGAGAGAGAGAGAGAGTCGGTCAATTCATCGGGACTTCCATATGATTATACCAGCTGGCCCGGGGTTTATTGGTACTGGTAATATAGAATGGAGAGATTATGCTAGCCATATATCCATTTAAACCATCAGCAGTGTATAACTTTTTAAAAGCTAACCCAATTGACGCATGGGTCACCATTGGAAAATTTGATAATATGGTTGTTGAACTGACGGGTTCAAGCAAACACGAATTATCTCCCATATTGTGTCTTAGGACAACCAGACGGAATTTAATGGTTGAAAAAATAAAAGTCGCCATGAAAAGGGTATGGATAAGAAATCACTCCTGTCACCAGCGACGCGTTAGAGATTATTCATGTTTTTTAATGGTGCTCTGTTTAATGTATTGAAGTCGTAAGCTAGAATTGGGTGACAGGTAGATTTGTGCTAATTAGGTGTCTTGCAGATTAAAATCGGTCAAGACGTCATAGTCTGGTAATCCAAATATGGTATTCCACGTTTTCGAAATGTTGACCCTTCATCCGCCCTTCCTCCTTGGTGACCATATTTAAACATTGTGTAGGATTCTGTGTAGCTGACCAATCAAACAACGGAAGTACCTGGCCAATTTTCCGGAGTTAAGGGGCCAAAATGGCCGCCAATCTGGATTTTACTATCATCTAATCACTCCACAACATAATGAATTATTTCAGTGTATGCCTTGACCCCAAAAACATATGGGTAGACACCAAAGTTACCACCCTAGACTAAATACTATGGTAGTGCGTGGGGGGGGGGGGTAGTTGAAATGGTGGCCACCTTATACGCCATCTTGAATTTCTCAAAACGCTGAATGGTGACCGAGGTTCACCCAGTCGATTCTGAAAGAGTACACCCTAGGCTACTAAAATAAATTATAAAAAACATTGTATACAATTTCTAGGTTCAGCCATAATTTTGTCGGACTCCATATACGGTTGAGACATTTTTAAAGTTGGGGGGGGGGGTATTTATTTGGTGGCTTAAACAACAGCTGAAACAACAGCTGAAACAACATCAGATTACCGAAAATAAGCACATACGAGTACTGAATAAGGACAACAAAACAGGTGCTGTACGTTATACGTGTTTAATATACCTCACCATGTATGCGAAATATCTGAAAATAAAAAAAATAAGAAATTGTCCAAATAAGCAAGACACATCCCGTGCATAACAGTTTACAGGTAATAATTGCTGTTCTCTTAAATTAGAGTAAGCAATGTATATGTAGCCTATTATGACAATATTTTGTCACCCTGCTGATCGAAGCATACACCTATAATCTACTCTAATGAGTTGAAGGACTGTATATTTTAATTTGTTCATTGATTCAAACAAATAACATCATCTCAATGACTCACAATTTGATCAGACCTCAACTATATAAGAAGTTATATTTGAGTTGTACTAACCTTATGGTTTTAATGGACAACATTTACCTTGTGGACATATACCGTTCGGGATGGGTGAGGTACAGTCAAAGGGTCCACTTAAACAGTTAGCATCTAAAAGTAAACACTGAACTTCCACCACTAGAAATAAAATAAAAACAAAGTGATAATTAATTAGAATCAGGAAAAATACATGAAAAGAGTATCATTTGATAGCAGCCTTGCTAAAATCGTGATTGCTAGAAAAAATAAGTCGATCAACAGATTTGGTATCAGTTGCTCTGGTTTCAGTACTGCTTTCGGAAGAGAAATATGTGCTCTTGTGTTCTATGGTTTAACTGCGACTTTGTGATGATAATTGCAGCGGTAATTTCGGATCATTTCTAGTATGGGTTTACGCTTACATTCGGTAATTCGAAAGTCTATAATTGAAATTATATTTTGGAAAATCAATCAATGTCGCTTTAAAAGTATCAATTGTATTCCATATAATGTTTTTGTGTTTATTACGTGTGTCAATTGCTAAATAATGCCCAAAGAAAATTATAAAATGGTAACATTAGACGGTCTGCATCACTTACTAAGTGTGATTGTAAGAGCATACTATGTTTAATGTCCATGTAGGTAAATGGTATACTAATATTAAACATACATTATGACGTCACATTAATAATGACGTCATTGTATTAATCATATTAAACATACATTATGCAAGAGCTAATCTGTCTATTGCAGGTCTTTCTTTAGGCCTGAAATGTTATCTAACTTATTAATTAGACATTAATCAACTTATCCAGACCATAATCAACTCTCGATATCAACGCTAGCCTGTGATATTTATTGGATTATAATTCGATTTGTTGCTTAACTTTCCTTCATGGTTTTTATAATGAAATGGATAATCGAGACTATGTTTTTTTTATGGTACCGACTTTAGTACTGATGATCGAGGCTAGGCCGAAATTTCAATCGCTTAATTCTCGGTTCATAGGGGATCAATTTGACTGAAATTTTCAACAAATTGCCTTTACATTATCTAGTTTTTAACCATTATAGTGAGAACTGTCAGCGCTTTATCTAATCTCCCATAATGTATCTTTAATAACTAGGATATTGGAAATGATACATGGATTTCCAATGTGTCCTTTTCTAATCTTCAAGCTTACCAATAGTTGCATCTATGGAAGCGTATAGGGGTCAAAAGCGCGATAAATACCGCGATATTAAGTTGGTAATATGTCAACATATTGTGATTGTTCTGGTGATTTTATCTCTGAAAAGACAATTTTTGGCGAGTTAATTGTATAATTCGCTATGTTGTTTGTCGTCATTTCGTTTTAAATGCACACGTCGACATAGCGCATGGCGATATTTCGCGAACATGTTGACGTATACTACGGCGAAATTAAATATGTCGACGAAGCTTCAGAATAGCAATATCTTAACGCAAACGTGCATATTTAAAACGAAATAGGGACATCTAACATAGCGCATTGACTCAATTAACTCGGCAAAAATTGTCTTTTCAGAGATAAAATCATCAGAACAATCACAATATGTTGACATATTACCAACTTAATATTGAGGTATCAATCGCGCTATTGACCACTATACGCTTCCATACGTATCTGCATGGAAGAGTATAGTGGTCAATAGCGCGAAAGATGTCACAATATCAATATGGTAATATGGCTACATATTGGGATTGTTGCGATGATTTTATATTAAAAGACAGTTTTTGTCGAGTTAATTCCACTAACGCGCTATGCTATGTCGCCATTTCATTTTAAATGCGCACGTTTGCGTTATAACATTGCTCTTCGGAAATTTTGGCAACATATTCCATTACTACCGCGAAATGGAGTATGATGACAATGCTTCAGAATAGCAATATCTTAACGCAAACTTACACATTTAGAACGAAATGACGGCACATGACATGATGCATTGATTAAATTAACTAGCAAAAATTTCTTTTCAGGGTTAAAATCATTTCAACAATCACAATATCTTGACATGTTATCTTATTAATATCGTCTTATCTTTCGTGATATAGACCCCGATACGCTTCCATAGTTCCTGCGTCGTTACCCTTGTCATTTGTGCAGAATGGAGAGAGAGAGAGAGAGAGAGAGAGAGAGAAATGGAATTTAACGTCCACTCGACACAAACTAGGTCATTTCGGGACTAACATATGGTTTAACTTTATTTCAACAATTCGCTTGCGCATAGGGGTCTTTAGCAGTGGGAGGAAACCGGAGGACCTAAAGAAAACCCACGAAGTTGGTCAGGCGACCCTACTCCTTGTCACGTACAACCGGGAATTCGAAACCACGCCAGTCGACTCAATGACAGGCTTTATGATACAGCGCGCGCACGCTAACCATTCAACCATCCAACCCCCCTTGGACAGAATGGAGGGACTGGCAAGGGATAACGTGTTCCGATGGGACGAACACCGAGGTCCCGTGTACAGAATGGCGTGCACGTAAAAGAATCCTTGACAGTTGGAATTCGAAATAAAAGTAGATCATAATGACGCTGCCCAAACACACGATATGGCGTATGCCCATCTTCGTTAACCCAGTCAGAGCAGGACGTTAAACCCTATTTCATATCCTTTAATCATAACGCAATCCTAAGATTATTAAAAGAATTGCTGTTTTTAGTAATAAATGCCCACGGAACTATTTCATGTGGCTGCCTGGTACCAATTATTAGAAACTCTGTTTTTCATGGGGTTAGTTTTAAAAAGTGTGCATATAAAGCAGGTACATGTGTTGTTCAGAATTTCAGCAAGTAATGTAAAAATGAAGAACTTGTACCCATTTATTGTGATTCCAGATATTAAGATATCATAGATGATTATAAATCGATACTATTTATTAAAATATCCAAGAATATCTCCTGTTATCAGAGAAAATGATAATAGGGATTTAAAAAACAAACCTGTTGTGGCTTCTTGGGATGCCGTTTCTGTAGTTGTAGCATCTGAAGTTATTTCTTGAGTTGTAGTTTCCGCCAAAGTAGTTTCTTCAGTCGTAGCATCTGAAGTTATTTCTTGGGTTGTAGTTTCCACCAAAGTAGTTTCTTCAGTCGTAGCATCTGAAGTTATTTCTTGAGTTGTAGTTTCCGCCAAAGTAGTTATTTCCTGGGTTGTCGAGTCTGCCGTTGTAATTGTTTCTGTCGTATCTTCGGACACTGCAGTTGTTTCTTGGGTTGTAGCGTATGTCAGTGTAGTTGTTTCCGGAGTCGTAGCTTCTGGAGTTGTAGTTTCTGGGGTTGTAATTGTCTCTGTTTCTGGAGTTGTAGTTTCTGTAGTTGTAATTATTTCTGTTGTTTCATCTGTTATTGTCTCTATCTCTTGAGTCGTAGCTTCTGGATTTTCTGTTGTTGTAATTGTTTCCGTTGTATCCTCCGGCTTTGTAGTTCTCCTTTGGGTTGTGGCTTCTGTCACTGTATCTGGACTTGTGGCGTCTGAAGTTGTTATATCAGGAGTTGTAGTTACTATCGCCGTAATTGTTTCTTTTGTATCTTCTCTCATTGTCAGTATAGTTCTATCTGGAGTCGTGGTTTCGGAGGTTGTTAGTTTTGGCAGCAAAGTTGTATCTGTCGTTATATCCTTTGCTTGATTAGCCAAACGCATGTTTCTGCTTTCCTGTGCGATTTGACACTTCTCATCAAACATGTCTTCGAAAAAACGACATGCAAATAAAATTGGATCTTCCGGCTGAAGATCCTCTGAAACGTATCCACTTGATAAAATTGAAATCCATAACAATATTCGAAGACTTACATACATACTTAGGTAATAGATTTATTTTGATAAGTAATTAGATTTAGTCATATCAGTTTGTTTATGCTATAGCATATGGGTTAACTCAGGGCAAACATAGATATTCAAGTCCCACGTTAAACGCGACGAAGACTTCTGACACATTTAGACCTAATACATAGTATCCAGGAAAGTTTTAACGTCCTATTTTTCTACGCTAATGAAGGCGGAATATATATATGTAGTCTGTATGCCTCGCTGTTAAATCGTTTATGCCCCCGATTTAAGCACACCTATTAAATAGTGGTATGAATAAATGTATTATATCGCAATATTTCTTGGGTAAGTCACGCACTGTTAGACATGTAATATACTCCAACTGCGAGGTTTTCCAATATCCTTCCCTCGTTATGTTCGGTTATGCTTGTGTCCCAGAAATAGTTTGATACTCCATCTTCTATACACAAACGTGATCTAGAAACGATGTGAGTTCAATATTATGAACGTTTAAGTACAGTTTATCCCTTTTTCTAACACTACACTAAACAAGACTCGACTGTAGGATCAAACATCTCACCAAACAGTTTCTTTCTAGTTATATGACGTCAAATCAACTATGTCTTATTATATATATGGTCTACATAAAATGGCTGCTGAAATAAAATCATTTGTGGCCTATTTCAAAAAAACAATCAGCCATCCCAGTAATTGCAAATGAATGAATGGCCCTTTAACTCATGCCTCAGTAGTTATGAAACTACCAACCGAGTTGAACTAAGTCCTAAATAAAGTATCTGCATATTTCGTATTCAATCAAACAATAGTAAAATAAAAAGTCTTGTAACTGACGGGCGTCGTATTTATAATACATACAATACCTCAATATACACGTATTTATACACATATCAGTCTTGGTTAATTTTATGTCATATTGACCACATAACTAACACATACGCACATTGTCAATATAAACACATTTACACCAATTTCGATCCAGTTCGGATGACCTTTTACTTGTTGGGAGCAATGTCAACCATTCAAGAATGGATGAGAATACGTGTCTCAAAACTTCGGAATAAACTCCCATAAAATTGATCTCATGGTTAATCTAAATTACCTTTAGTTCTGCTAACCACAATTTGGTATCAAATAAGGTGATATTGAAAAATGCCAGAATTTACTATTGTATGCTCGCGATCCGACCTTCAAACTTTGATCACAAGTACCACCACCGTCCATTAATTCAATGTCTAGCTCAGCCAATTACTATGCCTATGTTGTATGATAGTTACCCACTTGCACTAATTGTAACTTGTCCATAAATATTAACCTCTTTAGTTATGACCTCCCAAAGCTTTAGTTTCAAATGCAATCTTTGAAGAATCATTTAAAACAACCGTGGAATTTAATTAATCCACACTACATGATTTGTAATATTCAAAAATAAATCGTGAATGAAGATCTATACGTAACCATCACTTCCAGAGAAATGGTAACGCGACATAGCGAGAAGTAAATAAAGATATTATGTCTCTGTTTTTGCTTCCGGACATAAGTTTTTCTAGAGAGAATTGATAAGTTATAACAATGTGTCTTTCTTTTTGTTCACGTTGTTTGTACTATTTTCCGTATAAGCCCTAAAATAATTAACCCAAATGATGTTTTTGATGGAACTACATACATCAAGTTTAACAGAATTTTTGAGATCACAACAAAAAGTTTTGTTTTATGTTTCTTATGTTTCTACCCGATAGCCACACAATGCTGATTTATACATATGAATGCATTAAAGCTGTTAGCAGATTTTTAATGGCCAATCAAATAGTGTTTTGTGACGAGATTTGTTTCTATTAATTATAGAAATACACACTAAATGGCTTGTTCGTGAATGGGCCTGGGGCGTTGGGTGGCTGAATAGTTAGCGCGATCGCATTGCATCATAAGGTCTGCCATTAAGTCAACTGGCGTGGTTTCGATTGTGGATGACAAGGAGTAGGGTCACCTGTCTAACCTCGTGGGTTTTCTCCGAGTCCTCATAAATCACACAGATTACCATTATAAGACACACAGTCCAAACCAACGAGACCCATTAAGTTGAAATATCTATACGAATGATTCATGAATGATATGATCAATGAATATGCGTGTTTCTCCCAATATCAATCATGAGAGTTACTATATAAATTCATATCTTCAAACAACGACAACAGAACAGGCAGTCCACGTGCCTTCAAAGCAATCATACATGCAACCGGACATGTAAATTACTCAACCTTAGCAAATATTAACTATCATACATCTTATAAATAAACTACTGTTTATATAAATCAAACTTTATTACCATATTCCGAAAACATTCTCACCAGTTGTCATAAACTGTAATAAACAGTAATAACATATATACTATATTTATCAATGTACAAATACATGTGACCTTGAAACATAGCAATACCAGCGTGAATATACAGCGATTATTTGGTACACGAACGGCAAACTATTTTTGTAAACTATCTATACTTAGCCTAATAAAGATATTGTAATACGTGACACCTCCCATTGCTAAACACACTACGCGCAAGCGAATTAGTGTAATAACAGTGAACCATATGTTAGTCCCGAAATAACCTATATAGTGTCGAGTGAACATTAACCTCTCTCTCTCTCTCTCTCTCTCTATCTCTCTCTCTCTCTTGTCCGTGAAGTCAAGACGTAATAAGTTTAAGACGGCATACTCTCACCTCAATGTCCCCCACCATTATATTACATATAAGTCAATATGTGCTGTTTAAAAGCGTGTAGCTTTCTTTATTCTTTCGAACCTTAAAATAGAAGAAACTGGGTGTAATAGCACATATTAATGTAATAATAAAAGTATATATAAAGAGAATTACAACTTTTAAAGCTTATTTTGTAATTTGTAATCAATTATGCTCAGTGATATACACGAATAGTCCAAATTGAACGGCAGTCGTTTGAGAATGCGTAATTGATTCTACACGTCACTTTTAACTACGTCCGCATTGTCTTCTGAAATATGTTTATTTACAGATGGCGCTCGAAATCATTATATCCATTGACTAGACGACCCATTTTTAAATAGTTGATGTTACGGTCCCATATTTTCACAGTAAGTTAACAACATCAATATTGATTGAAATTGAACAAACGTCAATTCTATTTTTTTTTTTTAGTTTTGAATAATATTAATTGAGAGGTTTGGCTCATGTAAAGGCCTAAAGCGGTTCATATATAAATGCTGCATTGGTATAACCGTTATATCCTAGGCTTATACTAGATGGAGACCAGCCAGTGTTAATGTCCCCATTGACTTTAATGGTGATTCTGGTCTATTAGCCAACTTCTTCAATACTTTTCGTTGTGCATGGGCTTGCTCAAATATATATGCAGTTGACCACATAAACGTGAAGTAGTATACTATAAAAATGTAACATCACCCACCGTAACCTGGCAGAAAGTGTCAATTCAAACCATCTTCTTCGATTTTATGCCAAACCGTTAAATAAACTGTCCATACAAATGGAGAGAGAGAGAAAGAGAGAGAGAGAGATTGTTAATGCGTCTCGTTTTGGATGGATGTTAGTATTTAACAGTAGTATATATCCCCTACTTTTTTAAGAGTATATATAACGTTTTGGGTTCATTCCTAGAGTTTTACGTCCACTTCCACCATAGGTCATATCGTAGACAAAGTTTTGGGTGTCGAAATGTCGCTTATAACCTCCTACTTTCGATGTAAGGGGGATTATCGATATCTCCTTTAAGTTTTTTTTAATAGAATTTCAAATTTTTGCCGTGTCCATGGATACCAGACAAACCACAGCCTGTAGCCAAAAAGGTCCCTTGAGTTTCTTGGACTTATAATGAGCATTTGCCATATTTGATGAGAATCCATGCATGCATAACTGAGAAAATTAGACTATTGTTTTCATCAACACTCAATATTATCATGCTTTTGGGACATAGTTGATAAATATAATTGGTGTTATTTTGTGATTAATATGTAGTTTATCACAACAATTAACAAAAAATGCACTTTCAATCAAAAGGTCTGTCATTGAGGCCAGTGGCATGGTTTCGATCAAAAGTTTGTACGTGACAAGGAGTAGTGTCGCCTGGCTACCATGTTCGTAAACAAAGCCTACATATATCTTTTTGTAACTTCTTTGACATTACTGGCACCATTGGTGTTCAAATCTAGTATCTGTAAAAACGAAGATTTTGCAGAGTGATAGAATTAAGAACATGTTCTACTGTACATAAGAAATGTTTAGTCTACACATGCAAATGTTCCAAGAAAACGTCAATTAGATTATTAAGGAAAAGCAATGAAACGTCAAGTGGAGAACTGGCTTGAGGTCTGGGGGACTACATGAACCTACATCCGAGTCTGAGACAATAGTTCTGCTCTTTTAGGTTTTTAGGTTTAGAGTGGAATGAGGCCAAAACAGTCGTCAATACCAGACAAAGAAGGCTGTGGGTGAGCCCTACAACGACCCTACCTGTAGCCATCTTGGTATAAAAGTTACCCCCCCCCCCCACACAACCACAACAAGGCGGTGCCGTCTCCGAGAATTCATCATGTCGTCAAGACAAGGGTCATACTCAACAACCCACAAACACCAGGAACCTCAACCAGATGCTGTAGATTACAACGACGTCTCCACCGGGAAACCAGTAGGTAATGATAACCACAATCAAGACACCACAGTCTAAATTCATGGCAATCAAGGAAAGAACACATAGAATTGTTCATAAACTTTTATAAATGCCCGCCATATGATGTTGTGAGTATTGGTGGTATTGTATGGACACGTGGTTTCATCTTCAATTCTAAATTCGACTATCCTCAGGTCCAGTTGTGGCAGTAAGATTGTTCTGTCAAAGAACTATATTCATCGAATCTTATATTTTCACATCGATAAGATATTCTTTATATTTGCACATAGAAAAGTACTTAGTTAATATGTCTCTCCGATAAAACGTCTCTCTAATAAAACATTTCGTAATGCTCTCATATAGATATTGTTGTCTATAAGATACTGCACTTTCACATATTTCAATTATTAGGTTAATATTTTCTCCCCGATAAAACATTTCGTTATGCTCTCAGATAGGTATTTATAACCTATTTAGTTATATTGTCATCGATAAGATATTACTCTATCAGAACAGTTTTTATGGGAAACAATCACTGGGTTATTCTAAAAACACGACGTTTCGACAAGTATCCCCTTATCGTTATCAAACTTGATAATATTTCGATTATTAAGCTGCTTTTTTTTATTTTCAAACAGAAGAAAAGAATATTTCGTTATATTGCCAAGTTTAGTTATACATACACATAGTTAAAATATTGAGTTATATATACTTAAAACATAGATATGACGTCACTTTTTGATGTTTTTAACCAGTATATAGGAGAATGTACGCTTTTCTTAAACAATCGTCTATTATTTATAAAACTGTCCATTATTTTTAATAAATAATGGACAGTTTTATAAATAATAGACGATTGTTTAAGAAAATAAATATAATAGACACATTTCTGAAAAATGAACATGTATTTTGAGATAATTTATTTTCTGAACAAATTAAATTACAGAACATGAAATTACTTTAAAACCTCATAGTTACCGAAATGTCACATGACCGAATGTTGATTTCACGAGATTGTCTACATAAAGAATTCCA